GTGCGGGGCTCCCGGGCGGCGAGCCGGGCGCGGAGGCCGCGGAGCACGGCGGCTCCGGGCTGCGCCGGGGCTCGGAGGCGAAGTGCGCGGAAGGGCTAAAGTCGGGGGGAGGGGAGGGGCAGAGGGGGCGCCGTATTCTTCTCCGCTCCGGCTTCTCCTTCCCCTCTCTGGTTGCTGGCTCGCTGTTGACTCTGGGACATCAATCACCGGGCGAAAAAGCCCTGTGCGAACGAGCCTCGCCGTTTCGGCCGGGTCTCTCGATTGGCTGTGCGCGGAGAGGAGCGGGGTGAATGACGGCGCGGGGGAGGGGGAGGGGGAGGCCAGGAGCCCAGACAGATGCCGAGCCAGAGACTCAGCTCGGAGACTGGAGAGCGGAGAGCAGCTCCTGCGACGGAGGCGGGGAACAGCAAGAGGCTTACGATGAGAAGGAGAGAAGGGCAGGGGTGGCCGGTCCGGAGATGGGCGGTGGACCCAAAGCGGGGAAAGTTAGCTGCCCCCTCCCTTGGACTGTGCCGGAGCAGGCCTCTGGGGACAGGTGTCCTGCCCAACTGGAGAATCTCCCCAAGGGCTTACCTGGGAAACACCTGTCACTCAACCAGGCGATTTACTCCAACTTCAAGTCCAGCTTGTTACAAGGTGGAAGACTGTCTGCTCCCAGGTATGGAGCCCAGGCCCCGAGGCAGGACGGTGAGTTCAGGCTTGTCCTTCTTGAAAACAGGGCCTGTGAACAACCAGCTGTATGTTGTTGTTATAAAGCCCAAGCAACCACTCAGCTCAGCCTCTTTAGAGAAATTAAGAAAGGGAAGACTTCCTGAAAGGCAGGCACAAGTCTAGGATTTGGTCTGGGGCTTGTTGCCAGACTGCCCATTCCTCAAGACTCCCTTTTCCTTTGACGGAAACAGATACCCCAAGAAGCATTCCCGCAGGGTCTGAGTGATCCGTGCAGCTTGCTTTGCTTTCCACCCAGCAACTAGCTGGGGTTGGCTCCTCCGAGCTGGAGTAACCTGCTGTGAAGGGAAGGGGTTATTGTAGTGCTTTTGGAATCTTGGGAAGGAAGTTAGGGGCTTCAGCAGAGGGCGCTGGGGCTGGCGAGGCTAGAACCAGGGAAGGGGACCTGGGACAAATGCAGGCCTTTTCAAAGTTCTGCCTGTGGCTGCCTGGCTGAGAGCCCAAGAAAAAAGGAGGAAACTCCCCTTTTCTGCTTCCTCAAAGAGAGGGAGAGGTCTGCTCCCCTAGGAGCCAGCTTAGGGAATGCCCTGGGCTACCCTTTCTGATCTCTTTCAGGTTAGTTTCAACCTTCTGAGAGCACCCCTCTTTACCAGGCAAGATGCTAGAATGTAAAGGCTCAAGTTCTGTTTACCAGGTCTCATTGTAACCTGGTCTGGCTGTGTCTGGCGCCTCCACTTGAAGAGATCTCCTTGGACTCAGGGAAGGTTTCACTCTCTCTGCCTCCTCCCCCTCCCAACACAGCTCCAACCAATAAAATATGCTTATGTTGGGTGAATAATGAATAAATGGGTGCTTCCCATTTATACACATTCAGTGAGTGCTTAGTGTGTAGAGGTGCTGTTCGAGGCACGGGAGATCCAGCAGTGACCTCAGAGAGCTTAACATTCTATACATTGGGTCAGACAATAAACCAGCAAATTCAATAAGTCAGATGTTCATAAGTATTATGAATAACAATATATACTCCATGCCAGCACTTTGAGTAGTATCCCTACTTTACAGATGGAAGGAAACCAAGTTTTAGAGAGGCTATAGTGGATATGGGTCAAGATAGAGGAGCTAGACTGGGCTTGCTTTTCTGGGTTGCCCGGGACACCTGCCTCTGGCTGGAAGCCCCCTGTGCAGGGAAGACTTTGATCTCTTACCAGGGGAGGAAGACCCTCTGGAGACAAAGCCAGGCATGAAGCTGGTCTGTGAACACTAAGCAAGCCTATGAGGAGAGAGAGAGGTCCATTCTCTTGCGGTTTTCTCCTCCCTGCCCACCCCATCCAGGTCTGACCCCCTTAACCCAGAAGGTTCTACAACTTACTTTAGAAGTCATCTGAAACCGAGTGAGGCCCTTTTTTGCCTCTTATCTTGGAAAAACTAAAGTAGAAATAAACATAAATGTCTACTAAGAAATTACTAGGTGCCAGGTACCACACCTTGTTTGAGACTCATTCAGCCCTGTGAAGTTAATAGGTCCCAGTTTTTATTATTAATAAAATAATACGAGTGAATGTTCATGGCAGTATTATTCATAGTAGTGTAGACTACTCAGTTATTTATCAGTCGAAGAATGAATATGCAAAATGTGGCATGCCCATACAGTGGAACATTACTGAGCCATAAAAAGAAAAAGAAAACGCTGGCTTATGCTACAACAAAGGTGAGCCTAGGACACTCTATGGGAAGTGAGAGAAGCCAGGCACAAAAGACCACACGGGTGCTTTTGTTTCTATTCAGTGTCCAAGATGCACAAACCCACAGGAGCAGAAAACAGATTTGAGCCCAACAGATTTGGGCTGGGAGGACAGGAAAATGGGAAATGATTGCTGTGGGGACAGTTTCTTTTTGGAATGATGAAAATATTCGGGAAATAGGTAGTGGTGATGGGTGGACAACTTGTAAATATGCTAAAAACCATTAAATGGTACATTCTCCATGGCGGAATATTGTGGTCTGTGAGTTACACTTCGTCTTTAAAATAAGAAAACAGACCCCGTGGCCATGCCCCTTTGCCTCTCAGTTCAGCCTGCTGCCGTTAGAACCCCATCTGTCTCCAGAACAACTTGGCCTCGCACTCTGGGCCTCTGCCTGACCCACTTCTTAAACTCTTCAGCTCTGGCACCTTGTCTGGGGTTCCTGGGAGGAGACTTTGCTGGCAGAGGTCTCGCCTTCCTGCCGGCCCCCTGAGATTGTCAAGGTCTTCTGACTAAAACCTAGCAACCCAAGGATGTTCTAGCTTGTTTCTCCCTTCTCCCTGTCTCTCCCGCCTATTTGGGTCCACTTCTACCCTAGTCCGATTCTGAGGTCCTAGGATTCTACAAGTCCACGTGACCTCGGCTGACTGATGTTTGTCTTCCAGTGGGGTAGGAGAGGGTGGCCATGTGGGATCCAGATACCCTCAGTCCCTTTCTAGAAGGATGGGTCAGGATTGGCTGGGCTGTCACCCTCACTGCTTTCCTCGAAGCAGTGTTAACCTGAATATGACCTGCAGGCTGAAAGTTTTCTGAAATGGGGAAGGATGAACAGAGAGATTCTATGCAGTGAAGCTTCTGTGTTTCCAGTACACTCAGCCAGCCCTGCAGAGCAGCCCTGCTGGGAACACGAGGGAGGAAAGGAAGCAGGGCTCACAGCACGGGAGATCTGCTAGGCACCTTCATTCCCAGTGATTCTTACCTTTCACTCTCCAGTAATGCTGTGGTGTGGTTTTGTTATCTCCACTTTACAGATGAAAAAACTGAGGTACTGAAAGCTAGTAGGAGGGGGCAGAAACTGGACCCCAACATTGCGTGCAGACTTCATTCGCTGGAAGCTGCTTCCTGCACCCCACGCTCGGCTCCTGCCTTGTGGCTGCATCTTGCACACAGCCTTCTAGGTGAGTTGTGGGCTCTTTCTCCTGTCCGGAGGCCACCTGGTAACCTCCCTCAGCACCATCTCTCTGGGCCCTGCAGAATAAAGAAGTGCCTCCAATTAAAAGGAGACCAGCTGGGACTGAGTGGGCTGAGGGAGGAGGAGAGGAAGCCTGAGGCTCCAGGGGGAGACCTCTTTGGATCCCACATGGCTCCCTCCCCCCGTGGGAGAGACCCCTGGGCCAGGGGTTGTCCTTTAGCTTAGGGGTATGTGTGGTAACTTAATTACTTTGCGTTTGTGGGCCTGTGTGTCTACAAGGGAGAAAGCCTGATGTGAAAGCGTGTGTGACAGTGAGGGTGGAGCGGGCTGTGCAGATGTCCCAGGCAAGTCTTCAAGGAATAATTTTAGAAATTTGCTCCATGAATATTTATTGAGTGTCTGTTACACACCAGGCACTGTGTTAGGCTGTTGGAATAGAACTGCAACTGAAACACGTGCTGGTAAGATTGCTGGAGGAGAGAGGGAACCTGCAGGTTTTCTAGGTTTGCCACACGAGGAGCTGTGTGTCAGGAAGAACGTGAACGAATGGGTGTTTTCTCTTACAAGGTGAGAGTGTCTGTACAGCTGTTCCTCTGTGAGCTTGCATGTGTGTGGAAGTGTGCGTGTGACAATGATGTGTGTGTCTGTAGGAGAGCTGCTCTGTTTTCCCCTGCAGCTGTCAGGGAAATGTAGGTCTGTGCATGGGGAGGGGAGATAGGGCAAGCCTGCTGGGTATGGAACAGAGAAAGGGCATCACCTGAGAAATACGCAGGCGGTGTGTAACAGAGTGGCCCCTGGTGTGGTCATTTGGGGTCTGCATTTCTAACACCCCCTTCCTCGCATGTCTCCTTCCGTGGTGAGG